TCAGCGATACTACACAACAAAACGTCTAATAAGATATATGTATTTTTACTCGTTATTTGTATTCTGACTCGCCCTACGGGCTCGTCAAAATACGGCACAAAGTACTCGTAAAAATACTCAGCGATACTACACAATAAAACGTCTAATAAGATATATATAGTTGTATCAAAGGCTAAGTTTCTTCATTACTCTAAGTGGTCTTTCATTTTGAATCATGAACCGTCAAAGGTCGCAAATTTCGCCGTGTATCGTCAAAATAAAATTGTTTTAAACACACTCTCGGCAGCTACCGTAAATAGAGGAGATCAACTTCTACCCACGTAGACATGATTTGACGATTTGGGGTCAGTAAGACAACATTTCGAATAACAGCTTTTGACCCTACCTATTGAAGGTCGATCAGTGAGTTTTTTTCTATCTTTGCGATTGTTTGCAAGTGCTGAAAATATTGTCACTGTCAGTGACGTAGCGTGAAATAATAAAGGTGTGCGCATAGCGCGGAATTGGGAGCGCCAAAGGCGCCCTAAACTAAGGGGGTTTGGCGGGGTCATGCTGCCCCAGAAATTTTTGAAATTTAGGGTCTCGGAAATGCCATTCCAACTATTTCCGCAGAACGTTTTTGTAAATAAATGCGACAGAAATGCAATATTTTCTTATTTATTTTACCCATCTCTGAAGTTTTCAATAACATACAACAAAAAAGGTACGGGAGAAACGAACATACACACCAGTATAATTCGAAATTTAAAATCAATCCTATTTTATGGTAACTGTGACAAATGCTATAAGGGAATTAAAAAAAAAATTCCAGATTTCAGCTGTACGCACGCGTTCTTACGTGCGTACTGAGTTAACATATTTTAGCTTAATTCTAGGTGCACTAGAGAGTCCGGAGAGAAGGTGCGCCTATTTAATATTTCTCGACATTTTAAGAGGACTACAGTTAATGAAAATAAAAGTATGAATGAAAAGGCAGGTTTGATGAAGAGAAATGATAATCAGCATGGTTAAAAACAACCTTTCTTATTCAGTTTTGTTTGCTTTTTAAACTGAGATCCCGTTACAGTGATCAAAGATTGTTAAATTAAGGCACGACTTATGAGATCTATACTGTTTCGAGTTACATATCCTTCAAAATATTCCCTTTAAATATTTAAAAGCGATCTATCCAAAATAAGGCCAGCAGTCTATAAGAGACTACTCATTGTAAAGGTGGAGTGAAACAAGCAAGTTACGTAACCTTTAAGGGGTTAAATTTCTCAGAAGGGGGAGGAGAATGTTTAGTTTTATCAGAGGTTGCCATAAAAGCCCGCATAACTCTTAACTTCCGACATTAAGTATGTACTCGGTCGTTTGTTATGGAGGCAAACACACGATCTAGAAGAATAGCATATATTTAGAAAGAGTCTTCATGTTCGACCATGTCTTCAGGCTGAACGTAAGCATTTCTTCTGCTTAGTTGTTCATCTTGGGTTGCGTACTGGTCTCCAACCTTGTTCCTATTCATGAACCGTCGGGCAATGCGGTATTTGACAAATAACACAGCCAATGCTGCAACTGCAATTAGAGCAAATCCTCCAGCCCCTGCTAGGCCACCAATCAGCGCAGTTTGCTTGTTTTGATCTGTGTCTGAAATTTGAAAGCAGGAGATGAATCAAAGCTCAAGCGGGGACCAAAGAAAGGGAAACATTAAGTTTTAATCTATCTTTTTTTTCTTATTTCTGTTGATGAAATTTAGCCGTAGAAAAGAGAGAAGGTAATATCTTAATATTTATTGGCAAGAAACTAAAATTAACTGTTACCTTGCTTAAAAATCACCCTAGTGTACCTATTCCCAAAATCCTTTTATGCTCGTCTTTTTTTTTTCACAATAGACCAGGACTCGAATTTTCTTTTCTAAGTTTGTGTTTTAAAAGTTTTTCTCATCGTCACTATTATTTTTGAATTAGTTGCGATAATGGTCAACTTGTGAACATTTAAAATCTGAACCAGTATGAGTAATACTCCAAACTACTTAAATTTGAAAATTAGGCAAGATAGCGTTGATATCTTTAACACAAGCTCTCGATTAATTGATAAAACCATATTTATTTCGATCCCCCATCTCTTCACATTGTATGTGAACTTGCCTCCTTGCTCTTGCTCTTGTTGGATGATCAGTGGTCCTTGTGTTAGGGTGACTTTGGTAGTACTCTCTTCGTGTTCTATTTCGTCACGTGTAACATCCCTCCGCTTTCTCTTCTTGTTGCCTAAACAACTTCGGCTGCACCTGTCAAAGTTGAAGAGGAAGATTGAATTAGCTTCGAACGCCTTTTTTTTATCTCACGAGCGAATCATATTGCGATCAAGTTTCACAAGTATGGTCGTGTTACCCGTCGCTGATGAATATTAATTTGGCATCTCCTAGCCTACAGTGTTTTTCGGAAAAGATCGTTCTAGTTTCGTAAAACGTTTAAATACTTGTGAAAAAATTTCGGAGGCTGGTATTTGTATGTATGTAGGTATGTATGTATGGACGATATTTAGACAGGCCAGCCCAGTTCAGCTTGAAGCTGGCTTAAATAAGGGCCTGTAGATCCCACCATCCCACCCCAGGGGAGGACATCCATCACACAGTAATCTCGTGTGTGGGAAATAACGTCTCCTACCCCAACCCTGCAGGAGACGGGACCTCCATTTATTGGTCCCTATCCGAGAAGACTAGAATATCTAACCATTTCTTGATGTTATAGAAAGGTGGCAAATTCTTCTCAATTATTTTAAGACCTTGGGTGTTGGTCCGGCCGGGGCTCGAACCCTCGACCTCCCGCACAACACTCCAGCGCACATTGGGCTACCTGGAAAAGTATCTGAAAATTTTTCTTTGTATAAAACGTTCACGTTTCAGAGAATAATAAATGAAACTGAATAATCGGTTGTCTCACGATTTAGAATCAGGCTAATAATTTCATTGTCACGATGAACGACAACATTTCCTGTAGCATTATAGAATAACGTTGACTGACGATGAGATTTCTGTGCTATTTGTTTGTGCCATTGATTGTTTTGATGTTGTTCTCGCAATGACGTAAGATGATAAGAGAAAAGCTGCGGTACCCGGCTTCCGTTTGAAACGCATTTTGTGCGAGTACCTTTGTAAAGGTAGCCAACTCCACACATTAAAGCAATTCCAGCTGAGTGTCGAAGGCTAAAACAAGAGCTTCTGCTAAACCAGTTGTAACTGATTTGTAATGTCACTCACGTTTCCTCGTTACCACTGGCAGTTACCTATGTTAACTTCTCTGATTGGGCTCAATGATCATTTAGATGTAACAGGTGGCTTAACGATACTCATGCAGGAGACTCAGTGGCCTAATGGTCAGTGAACTGGACTGGGTCGAGAGGTCTGAGTTTGAGACCTGGCCACATCAGTGTGTTGTGTTCTTGAGTAGGACGAGTTACTCTCACAATGCGGCCTCTCTCCACCCAAGAGTGTAGATGGGTACTGGCGAATTGTCAGGGAAGCCAGATGTAAATAGGAGGGTAACCTTTCAATGGACTAGCGTCCCATCAAGTGGGAAGTGGTCACACTCCTATTCGCTTCATGATACAGGGAAACCGGGATAAGCTCCGGCTGGGTGGGCCAATAGGCTCAAGTACAGACTTGAATGTGCATGAGAGAAAGAATGCTCTCAGTATAGCTGTACAAGTTGCTTAATTCACCTGGAGTTTGAAGAGTATCTATGACAGGCCAAAACTTCGCAGTGAATGTACACCTGATCGTAATCGTTGAAGAATCTGAACGCTTTGATTTTAAATTGCTGGTAATTCCTATTGGGATCAAAGTTGTAATCCATGGTTGTATCTTGCGGACAACTGTAGATAGTAAAAGTAAGGAAATGCGTTGGCCTATGTGGTCGAAGTCCATCAGTTCATTACTCTATAAAATTAGTAAAACGTTTGAATTTGTCCTTCAGTAAAATGCTGATCAGATGAACGACTCGATTGAGGCCTTGAGCTACTGTATTTCTTTTTCTGTTCCAAGCTTTTGCTGATCTATGGTATCGCTGGGGAATGACGATGTCGTAGATCGACGAAAGCTCGGAATAAAAAAAAATCGAATCGTCCATTTACTCCCTAGAATTATTATCCGAGAAAGTCTACTCTTCTGTTTTATTTTAATACTCGAAGGTTCTCCGACCGCCTCCATACTTTGCACCAGAAATTAAACATTCGCAGCACAAGGAACTACAAACCTTTAAAAGGATTTACACGATTTATTTAATATTTAATATTTATCAATTATTTATTAAATATTTTATTTAATATTTATTAAATATCGTTCCAACGAAGGGCTAACGCTCGAAACGTCAGCTTTTATAACCGTAACGGTGGCCAATTTACCATTTCAACTTTGTTGATATATTCAAATTATTTCGTTACCCCCACCGACGCAGCCCCAAACAGTTTCTTTAGAAACTATCAGCCTTTTTCCACAAGACAATTTGGCTGTGACAGCTCTAAAGCATGACACCCAGTCAATTCAAGGTTTACACACGCGCAAACGTTTGAAATCTGTGTTTACTCGGCTGCGCTTCGTAAGCTACNTTCCAGAAAAACCATTCAAAATAATACGCTTGAGTAACATACGTACCCGTTCTGTATGATAGAGTATTGTGGCCAGGAGTAAAAGCTTCCAGTTTTAGTGGCCTTACATGTCACGGCCATTATTACCAGATCAGCACTGGATTCTACACTGTATCTCACATACAAGTACTGATTGATTGGCACGCTCAGAGGGTAGTCCTGCTCAGTATAGGGTGTGGCAAATGACGAACTCTTGTAAAAGTCAATTTTAAAGGTAAAGTTACCATACCCAGCTAGACAGTAGAAAAGGTAAAGCCATATTAGTACAAGACTGTGTTAAGTTTTGAATCATTATCAGACTTAAACAACTTTGCATTCTACCTTCAAGATAAAAGGGTGGCATCTACCTTAGGGGGGAAAGCAACTGATTTTCAAATCATTGCTGATTTGAAACAATCGGAACAATTGCGAAAAGTTTTATTTACCTTCTGTTCCAAAGTGTAGATGCTGAGGCTTGAAACCCAGGTTGACCCATTTCTTCCTTGAATAACTACAGTAAAATGGAATTTTTATGTCATGTGATCTAGTTATTACATTGTCGATAACGATCACATCCGTTCGAATTTCATTCCAGAAGATAAGATCATCTTCGGTCTCGTTGACCAGTGTTCCGCAATCATTTAGCAGAGTGCTGATCAGCAGATGGGTGTCATTCTGTGTGGCTCTACATGAGGAGTACCTCAAGTGCAGTCGGGTGGCGTCAAAAAAGGGAAACGTCTTCTTTTCTAAGGCAACTGTCATAAAGTCACTGCAGTTAACAGACACACCAGGTTCTAAGATGAGGTAAACAAATCAATATTCTTAGATTTAGCAGGATTTAAATGTGTCCCAACTACACGTGCCTAATCCATTACAACTTCGAAATGATTGGGTCACAAAAAATTATCATGTATTCTTGAACGCAGTGCATGATTAATATATTTTTCGTCTCTTAATCGAAATAAAAGAAAACTTGTATATCTTGTGGACATGGGGCAACCACTGAAGACCGTGTCTGGAGAAGCGTCTTCAGATGGATTAGTACTGCTGAAATCTTGCTTAAGCTGCTGCATTCGATAGTCATATTATCTCCCGAAAACTATAAATTCACGGTATTAACTTATTGGAAGGGTCATTGCTCTTTCATTGTTTATCGTTGTCTATTTCCACTTAGAAATCAGTGGAGGAAACTGCCTTCAGAGATGAAAAGAAGATGGTTTGCATTCCTTACCAACACAGGTCAAATTGTTAGCACCCATACTGGTTCCGTCCGGACAGCCACAGTAAAATGATCCAGGGATATTGTAACAATGATGGCTGCAGCCGCCATTACTGATCAAACATTCATCAACGTCTATGTAAAAGGAAAATAAAAGTTAGAAAATTGAAAGAAAAACCTCAGCCACCTCAAACATTTAAATTGCAAGCTAGACTTAAAATGGACAGTTAGGTAAAATGGAACTGAACGCGTACAAGAGGAGGAGAGTAATTTGGGTGGTCTGAGGTCTATACTAGTAACCCTTTGACCCTAAGTGTGACTAGCATCTGATATCTCCTTTCAGCATGGCTTCTGAATCTCACATTTAGGTTACGAGAATAAAGGAAGTGATCCCAAACTAAAGAAGCTTCTGATTCTTCCAAAAATTTTCTTTGGTATGCACCCTTAGAAATCTATCGAGAACAGCATGAAGAGTATAGATACTTAAGTCAGGATGCAATGGGTTAACTTGATTGGGAACTATTGAAAAGTATGAAACACCACGCGTTAAACGACAATTTGGGAGCGAAGCTGAACATCAACACACAGCGATCTATTATTTCATTTGCCAACGCGTCAAACGTTGTTATTATTGTTTTTCCCACAAAAATTCGTAGTTGCAGAATGAGAATATTACCAAACAATTTTCCTTATAAGATAAATTTTACCCAAGCATGATTTCCCATTTGCAGCCAGTTGGTATCCACTAACGCAAAAGCAAGTGTAACTTCCAACCGTGTTGTGACAACTTTGATCGCATTCCGCCGGTAAATGAAATTGAAACTGAGAAAGATCTGGTTGAACGTTTACACTTGAATCAGCATAGAAGGTCGTTGCCATTCCAGAGGCTGGTGTCGGGTGGATTCCTTGCACTGCAAACAAACGTACACATTTCTTCCTTTGTCAGTTTTAGCCTTACTCGCTTAGTCTATTCCTATCTATTTTATTAGGCCCAGTCTTACAGTAATAGTTAATAACGCTATTATGTTTTTCATCACTAGATTTTATATTTTCAAGTTTGTTCGAAACATGTTCTTTATGAAAAGATGCTGGTTTTAAAAGGAATTGCATTTGGGCTAGGAAATTGTTCATAAAAATACGGCAAAGCTTCGGACAGGTAAGTGAAAGTCATTAAAAAAATAGCCTTTTTCAGAAGCCCGGGTTTCGTTCACTTACCATTTGACGAAGTAGGAGTAGCAGTTTGTGTCTGTGTGGGCAAACACTGCCCATGGCTTGTGAAAGACACTTGTAGGCTTGATAACACAAAATTGTTTCCCGCGTCTGAGGAAGAGTTTGGATTTGTAAATATTACGGAACAAAAACAATAACATTAAATAGGACGTGTTCTTTTCGGTTCTAAGTATCATTCGTAGATTATCCCCATGAAGTTATTTGAAAGTTATGAAAAAATGCGCAGAACAACAACGAAGCTCTCGTATGTTTTGTCTAAAGGTGAGAAAAGTTAAACAAGTCGTGGTAAACGCTGGACAGTGCCTGAGTTCGGAATCTTTAGTATGTCATAGAGTTTAACCCCTCTTTGCCTGCACAATTTACCCTTCTTCACCTGGCAAATAAGTCCTTTTTGCTCACAAAGACTTCCTTACCCCTCCACCAAAGCAGATTATAATTGTTATTTAGGCTATTGCCGATGAACTCAAATTTTGCGCGCTGAAGTATTCGGCATAGAGTCGATGCTTCTAGATTTTGATCTCTTAACAAAAGTGCATATTCTCCTCAAACAAAGAAAATGACCATAAATGGTGCGTTCATTAGCCCTATTCTTAAACCGGAACCAAACCCAAAGTTTGATACGTCCTGATTCAATCATCATACGACTTGACTAACCTCGCAAACGACTTGAACCTGCTTTAACTTTTCATTCAAATTTGAAATTGCCCTTACTCTCTGTCAGCCATGAAACTTTCATCTACACATTCTAATTTAAGAAAGGATTAAAGAAATATCTTTATTCCTCTTACTATAACTTGTAGCGTAGAAAGAAGCGTAAAATCCAGGCATCCTTATGACACCGTCCGAATGGAACAGCACCATGAGGAACCTTCCACTACTGTACAATCCGAACCATGACAACTGGCCACACGCCTTGAAAAGAACAGGGCTGTACAAAGAGTTACCATCCAGAATTGTCACATAATCCCACGGGCAGTGAGAACCTCCATATTCCAAATGGAAAGAAGAGAAGTATAGATAAACGTGTCGGCCAACTGGAGCTTCGAGCAGCCAGGCGCACTCCTTGTTGTTCGGGTAACAACCTGGTTTGCCAGGGCTCTCAAAGGAACCATAACTGTAGTTGAGGTGATGGAAACAGTTTCCTGTAGAGAAAAACAAAACATATCAAATTAAACACTACTAATTTGGACCAAAAGAATATTCTCTCGTTTGAAATTAAGTGAAATCTTTTGTCCAGGTTTCACAGTGGTCGTCGATTTGTATTCACGCTGACTGGATATTTCTAAGGAGAGTTAGCACTAGCAAAGTTTCCTCACATCAGATAAGACAGGTGTAAAGCACCGCAAGAAGCATTAATTCATCTTCCACTTAAATAACCAGGCCTCAAATTAACCATCCTCCTTTACTCTATCATAGCGCAAAAGTGCCACAATGGACATCCTATTCTAGTAATATGCAGGGATTTTGCCACCGTCGACCCATTTAAACAGCTTCGCCTGCCACGAGTCTCCCATGTCTCATTGTGTGCATCAGTCGTAGAGCATCCGAATTTCTAATCGAAAGGTCGTGAGTTCGACTCCTATAAGGAGAAATTGGAGTTTTTTTTCTCTGAGTATGCTCCGTCATTCACTGAATAATATCATCTTTCACATTGATTTAGTAGTCAGCGGAATTGTTGAAATCTGAACCGAGAGCTTTGTAACTGCTCCACTTAAACCACATAGTAATTCAAATTAACACATTAACTTAACAGCGGCATGCCTTGATTTCTACCATCTGTTACTCACCAGGAAAAGCCGGGGTAGCAACGGCAATATACTGGGCTTTAAAAAGGAAGAATAAAGAAGAATAACCGTCATTAACATTGAAGTTCATAACCGCAAAAATTATTCTTAAAAATGCATAATTACACTGAGAAAGGCTGACAAACCTGTTGCATTTTACGCTTAAGGTGGTGATTCCTCAGAAAAAAAGTTATCGAACAATTTTCTTAAAACTCTCCTTAAATGTTCCCTATCAATGTCTGTTTAGAAGAATACAATAAAAAAGATGAGTCATCATGCTAGTTTAGGAGATATGATGAGCCAAACTTATCCCATTTACGCCTGAACTGGCACTAATTATGAGTGTCAATTCATCGGTTCTCGGTACATTTTGCTGTAGCTGAAAGCAAGGGTTTTTAGAGTAACACTTAAAAAAAAAACCTTGGTGGAAGGAAAGCTGCAGTCTCGAACGTATGGAAAAATTTGACATATATTTGTGAAAAAATTACGCAATTTTAAACGACATTGACTTAAAACGTACCTCGAGTCGTTGCTTTATAGGTCATAATTTGCAACCTCGAGTAACGACCTTCGTGCGCGCGTTTAGCAATGTCCTCTTTTCCCATCGATGAATGTTTTTAATTTTCTCCAAATCATAGGGAATTATTTTAACACAAAAATTGTGCATAATAAATATAGGTCACTGTGCTAGTTCAAGAGCTGAAGACCATCGTACCTTCTTACCTGGTCCATTGATTGATAAACAGTACCATATTCTCGGTAAGTGCGTGCTTATGCGCCTGTTTACTTAGTTTTTGTGCGTAGTACAAGGTGCGCAGTTCAATACTGAGGAATCACCTTAAACATGGAAACTATTTCGTGGATTATTCATCCAATTTTTCTTTCTTAAGAAGACCATTTCTTCAGTAATTTAATGTAATCATGGAGGAAAACAGAATTTTAGGAATGGTAGAGCGTCTTCAATGTAGTCCTAACATGTATCCAGTTCGTTCGTTCGTTCGTTCGGAATAACAAATTAAAAAAATCAATCAGGGTAAAACAGCTGAAAATTTTAAATTCGTATTAAGGGAAAGGTTACTTACAAGGAGTAGGTGCGATACTAGTTGAGTGAAGAGCTAAAAAATAAAATTAACATTCATTGGAAATTGCGTTAACGTGGAACAATCTCAACTCTATCTAACAAAATAAAATCGTATCTTTGATACTTCATTATATCAACCACAAACATAGAACCGTTACCTTTCATGTGCTTTTTACGTTTGCTCTTAGAGGAAAAAATTTGCAAGGTTCATGAATAATTCAAGTGCTTTCCGAAATGTGCCGCAAAATCTTCTTTGTTGTGCAGTGCAAGATGCAATGTAAACAAAATAGGAAAATCAAGATCCAGGGCAAAGGCCCGCGGAGCGCGTAAACACTGCTGGAGGCCTTTCACAAGTTGTGTCAACTTTCGCTCTTCGGTACCGGTTCCCCTAAAACATTCTTTCAGCCACATGTCGAGTTCTTTTTTAAATTTAATTTTTTTTTTCGACAAAGTAAACTTTTTAAGGAAGCAATGAAAACTGATTTCTCTGACTAAAGAGAAAAAAAACAAAATTTAGAAACTTTTGACCACAACTTGTGACGGTCATTTCACTGGTATAGTTTTTGTATTATTATATGAAAGACCACATTTCATTTTGTTGACAATAACCTTAAAACACGCGACATAGATGCAGTAGACGTTTTAGTGAAAGTGAACTTCTCCAATTCATTGCAAAATAACAGTAAAAATGTTTCGACTCGTTACTTACTTCCAAACATTTGGTGTAAAAGTGAGCGGAGAAACTTAGTCTTACCATTCCCAGAAACATACATAGACGCTGTCGCCATCGGCTGTACAGAGGCTGATAAGTTGAACAAAAAGATGTGGTTATTTTTAATCCTAATGTAAAAGTGGAAGGATAATAGGTGTATTATGTTACGAGGAAACAACTTTCACAACGCTGACGAAACAGGCAAAGAAAATTTTAAGCAACAGAAATACCTGGTGAGGGTGCTATATTAGTAGACGTCGATGAGTAATTACCTGTTGAGAAAAAAAGTGAAGAGCTGTATATATTGGGATTTGACCTCATCGATAAATAGGTCTAAAAAGGTATTTTGTGGTAATCCTAATTAGCATAAATTGATATTTTGCCGGCACTTATCGGAGGACTGGGGGTGGCTGCGAGGTACACAGAGAGTTATGGGATCATGGTTTGTAAGCAGAGGTCATTAGTATAGCAAGGCATTCTACGGTCAACCTTCCCCGGGTTTAGCTATTCGTTTTCATCTTAAATTGTATAAATTCAGAGCAGTGCTTGCATAAGTACCAAGTAACTGTGTAAAAATGTCATTTATAGGATACCCTAAAACCCCAAGGGTGGCACCACTGCCTTGGTCGGGGGTACACGTTCCCCGTTTTTTCCACCTGCTGGTTTTTAGGGGTTTTCGTGTCGGGCTTTGGTGCATTTAGTTTACTTCAATTGTAATAGGCTTCTGTTAGCATATCGATTTGGCGTAAAATAAACGGTGGCTTGGCTGGCCAACCCGCCCAGATATCAACTCTTTGTGTCAGCTTGAGCAGTGAAGGAAAAATTTATTACCTGCGCTAACAAAATTCTACTCTCCTTTCTGTTACTCTCTTGCTGCCTTTGCTGTCTGTTTCATGTAACTGTCTGTCGATCGGGTTTGTCTATTGTCTGTTAGAATGTGTATGCTGTTCGTCTACATGTTTGTCTCTGTTCAATTCGTCTGTCTGCCTGGTAACTGGCCATTTGTCCCTCACAACTGTCTGTCTGCAGTCTATTCGTCTGCTTATTGGTTTTCTATCGGTCTGTCTTTCTGTTTGTTTTTCTACCAGTCTATAATGTCTGTCTTTCTTACCTCCTCCATTTCCACAAAAGCGAGAGGAACAATATGGTACAGGTACGAGCTCGTACACGTAGAAACCACTGCAGTTACGAACGCGGATGTAGGCAGACCATTGGCAACAACTTGAGTGCCAATGAAAACACACTTTAACATAGACGATTCCATCAGCGACCGACGGATGTTGGCCACTCAACCAACCCGTTATGTGGGTGCCGCATCGATATCTTCCTACACAGGACGTGGGCATCTCTGTTCCAGCTGCACCAAGAAATCTGTACCATCCAGGTTGTAAGGTGTAACGATCACAATCTACATTTCCGTAGAAGCCGTTATAATGACCCATCCCTCTTTCTGCATCTTGTAGGTAAGAGTGGTTATAGCATTCTACAAAGTAATGTCGAATGCATGCTTTAGTTTTAGTTGTGTTTCACAAAGATTCACAACTAGTAATTTTTTAGTTTTTGTGTTCAGAAATCTGAAATAACAGAACAATACAATCTTCACCATACATGTTTTTAAAATAGCCTAGAATGGTACTAGAGAAGTTCTAGGAACAATCACGATCTAATTCAGTTTATGTTCATTTTGAAGAAATTTAGTTATTACTGCTCTAGTAACTAAGAGTGTGATCTGAAAGAATAGGGATTAAAAACGCAGAAACGTTATATGAAAACCTGAAGATTGTGAAGGAGCTGCGCTAATGGATGTAGATGGACCTGTGTAGAGAAAAAACAAAACTTAGATTTAATTTTACTGAAAGATTCAGCCAAAAATTAGCAAGCATTTTTCAAAAAGAATAGTGACAATATATTGCAAACGACGAACATCACATTCACAAACAAAGTTCAGTGTTCCCTATGGCTTTAGTGCCTTTTTTTAACATCTCTCAAAATTAATATTTATTAATTCTATCTAAAAACTTTCCTATATAGTATCAGTATATTGGTTTAAGCTCAATCAATAGCTTTCATGTCATGTGGTAACTGTACTGCAATAGTGGTGTCAGTGGTGATAGTAGTTAGTGATTGTGGAGCTAGCAGTGGAAATACTTATAGGAGTAGCAGCGGTAGTGATGGTGGTATTGGCAGTCAAAGTAGCCATGGAAATACGCAGTGGTACTAATGGTAATATTAGTGGTAGTAGAAGTAGTAATGACATTAGCCTTAGGGGTGGTGAAAGTATTACTGGTATTGTAAATGGAAGTGCTAATAATCGAGGTAGGGGTATAGTGGTATTAGCAGGGGTAGCACTAGTGGCAGTGTTGAGGTTAGTTTTAGAGTTAAATGGTGATGGAAATGAGAGTGGTAATGGGTGTGGAAGTGGTACTAGTGTTAGCGGAAAAAATAATTACCAGTTGAAGTAGGTGTTATGCTTGAAGAAGTGGCTGTCGATAGAAAGTGAAAAGCACAATAAGATCACAAGGAGTAATAATCATACAATTCATACAGACGAGATCTCTGTTTGAGGAGTAAGCGTTTGTTAGTTTGTTGGACACATCGACTTTCACCTGTTAACGTTATTCTTAACAGTGTGGCAAGAAATAAAAAATATGCATTCAGTAACAGGTCTCGAAGAATTACCTTGCAAGCGCCGATATTGTGCATTGAAATTCGAAAGGGCAAACGCAAAATGAATCTCTTCTGTCTTTTACATTTCTTAAAGCCTGCACTGAGCGTGACCGGAGGGATATGCTCAATTGTAATTAGGAGAAACGAGAAAGAAATCAACCAAGATGTTAACGTGGGAAACATTTTCCAAGGCATGAATAGCTGAAAAGTTTACTAAATCAAACACTGAAAAGTAATCATGTTGCAAAGATTATTAACTATAGCGATGAGTTTAAAAGATACCCTAGATGAAACAGATAGGAGAATATACAGGTAAGATGTTGTTTTCAACTCTGTCATGAGATTAACGTAACCCTTGTTCCACGAACTGATGGGGTAAGCCTGTGCCTTGAGATAATCGAATGACTCAAAGAAAAATTATGTTAAAGGTCCTATTTTCCATTATTGTTATTATCAGCAGAAGGAAGCATCCCATGAAAAGTGCTAGCAGTAAATGTGTCTACCTGAAGTCTGGATATATTGCCACCACCAATGAGATCGTTTTGACCTATGATGTCCCCCACATTCATCTATATCTGCAAAGAGAAGAGAAATTTTCGCATCGATAGACTCTCGTTAAAATATGTCTTGAAATGGAGTTTATGCTTATACATTTCAAATGTTAGAACGGTTTACACTAGTTGGATTATTATGATTTAAATTTTGAAGCCGTGGCTTGATCTCAATGGATGTTGGTTTGCTTTTAGTCTAGGTTTCATACTCCAACAATAAATAGCAAAATCTCGAAAAGTACAAATTGTAAAGGAAGAATGTTAAGCAAACTTTGCGATTTTTAAAAATCTCGTACATTGCTGCATTATTAAGGAAAGTAATTTCATTCTGAACGACCATGTGGAAATGAACAATACATATTCCATTTAATCAATTCCAACAGAACATTCTTCATGCACAGAACCTTTTTAAGATAATTATGGGAAAAAAAATTTTCGTTGGGCCGCGTAAAATCATTCTTACTAAATACATTCTGCCCTATTACTGAGGATTATCAAACTTACTGATGGCGCTTTTTGCATTGGTTGAGATAGGATTATAGATTATGCACCCTCATAGCCTACAACGAGATGAGACAATGCAGGCTAAAGATGCCGGTTTTGTGAAGATGTTTAAAATCAAATATTTGAACTATGGACGTACCCTCACACTTTTGAAAACTTGGAGGAGCCAAAGCATAACCAACAGGGCATACACCATATACAGGGAAAGCCCAGTCTTTGGGTGAGGTTATACCAGGTGTTGGTGGACCATCATATGAGCAGCCTTGTCCAACGACTGCACCGTGATCTATTAAGATGGCATAGGAACCATTCATACTCAGTGCAGCCTTGGGCGTGGCAAAATGCAGTGCTGTGCGGTTACTGTCGATAATAACGTAACTAGAGAGGGCATTCACTTTGAAGACAGTAAAACCATTTGACTGCAGAACCAATCGTATGAATGCTGAGCTACGAGGCTTCTTTATCTGCAAATAATCAACCTCAAATAATTAATTCAAGCATTTGTTTCCCTAACATTTCGAATTCCCAAGATCTGACAGCTAGTTTTTCTAGAAGATGATTGCAAGTTGTTTCTTGGTTTTTCCGTACTGGCATGAGAATCTGGAGTTATATCTTGGTAATGTTCCTTAATTTTTAATCGTCATGATTATTATCCCTTGAAAGCATGGAAATTTATCAAAACTCTAATAAAGGATCTACATATAGGTCATCCTTTGAAAAGGAAGGAATATAGTGTTCCTTACCAGTCTGTCAAAATGAACACTCCACCATATTAGTCCTGTTCCGATCTCACTTAGAGGGCTTATTGGCCATCGTGTTTCCAAAATAACACGAGGCGTATTACCTAGAAATAATTGAGTGTCTCTATGGATAAATAACGAAATGATACGTGCCTCTTAATTAGTGAATGATTAAAGGACTCCATTGATATGCTTTTGTTTCAATTTTTGTTTATGATGATATTAATATCGTTTAATTGTTTGTTTGTCATTAACATAGTAAATATTCTTATTCATTTTTTGCGCTGTTATGTGTATTTGTTTTTTTTTCTAGTCTGTATTAAAAAACAAATGGATCAAATAGAGACACTCTTTAGCAGCATAAAACATTAAAAAGGAAGAAAAGACTAAAAGCAAAAGCTCAAAATATCCACTTTTCTTAATGAACCGAAATGGTCTACAGGATTAAAACTACTTACTTAGACCCACAAGGATCGTGACACAACGCCATTCACTTTGTAATCTGTATCAATTGGAAATTATATGAAACATGAATATATATAAACGGACTTACGCAACATGAACTTTTTCATCCTCCTGTAAATTACTTACGGTATGCGCTAAGATGAACTTGACAAAAATTGATTTTGCTAGTTCTCGAGTTTCTTGTTCTAGTAAAGAGCTCTGTCTGTTTGGTTGGAAGTGCTGCCCGACATGCACATGTTGCACTCCATAAAGCGCATTTAATGTCATACTTTTGTCTTGACAGTGATCATTAACAATAAATGAGACTTCAAATTACTAAATCTGATTTAGCAGTTCATTAAATTCTGATTCTAGGTGCAAATTTTTTTACACGACGTATAATAGCGTCTCACCCGTCTGAATCCAAAGCTTGAAAGCAGAACATCTGCTGTCCAACTTGGTTCTGATTCGGATACCACGTGACATTCCTGAAGTAGATGCCTCCATGAAAGCGTAATGGCGTCAGTTGCATACCAAGTGGAGAGTTTGTGTTTATCTCGACGATACTTACAATATAAAGAACATAGTCAAGGATAACAGCAAACATAACATGGCGAGTAATGCACCTTTGGATATGTGTCATATATTTAGTTCATAGATGGAAAAGTCAAAGTTAGATGCCCTGGACTTACAACCTTGAATACTTACTGTTTAGCAACGCGTGGAAGCTGCACCTCAATGACTGCTCTGTATACTGACCCAATCTGAATCTCTGAGCATTCACCATTTTGAGGTGTGGAAGCAGTAAAAACAGGTATGTCTTGGCAAGAAGCGGACGCATTGTTTATTATGACAAGAAATTGAAGTGGCACAGCGCTGAATGGTCTGATGTTATTGAAGTTTGTGGTTCCAGCTGGAAAGTCTTCCAAAGTTAAGGTCA